AAGGTGGGGTATGTCATTTATTTCAGAAACACTTTTTGTTATATTCCATGGAATGCTCTCAACATCCCGATAGCAATGAATATATTAAATGCTTTGACGATAAATACATAGAAAAATGTCATCTGTGGAAGCCGTGGTTCTGTAAAAAGCACGACCAATCATCTGAGCCGGCTAAAGTAACTGGATGGCCTACCTGCCTGTCAGCCTTCCATCTGTGCACAAACTTATCTGGTGCCCTCATTGGTCATGTGCATGTTCGTGTGTGTTGGAGGCGGGGCTCTGGAAGGAAGTGGCAGTTTTTCTCCGGTTGTGTATTTTCAAATTCTAGCGCACTCGAGCTGGTTTCTCTATTCTTACCTACCCCACCTTTAAGCGTTCAAAACAGCCCACAGTTCTTGCAACGTAAATCTGAAAACATTTCTGTGTTTCATTTTGCAGATCATGAGTCTGGAAGACGGCTTCTGAAATTCAGTTTGCTATAAAAACTCTTCCGATAAAGAACCAGTGCCACACCGAGCTCTGAGCAGGTAAAGTACACTCAAAACCAGATGAGCTCGAGTCTTCTATTTCTTGGCAGTAATGAACTCAATTATGTGATACAAAGAAAAACCCCAACTGGATTTGTATCGACTTGTGTTTTCTCTTCAGATGGAGGTGAATGCGGTTAAAAAACGCCATCGCACACGATCCAAAGGAGTCAGAGGTATAACTATGTTTGTCTGATTTCTTTTCAAAGCTTCGTTCTAATTTCTTAATCGATGCACATGGATGAAATATATGCTAATATGCTAATTTTCCTCATGTTAATGTGACTCATTTTGGCTCAATGCTTTTTTGGCTACAATCCATGCACAAATAAGAAGTATACGTGTAAACCTGAGTTTCTGGTTGAAATGTGCAGTTCTAAATTTGTTGAATTTGCAAGAAATGTATAAAGTTGGCTCCATTCTCTGCAAATGAGCCTGTTTTTGCTGAAATATCAGTTGTACAATATATATTTTGAACCCAAGCAAAAAGTGTATGAAGCTAGCTTTTACACCAGAATATAGTTAACCTGTTGTTTCTAAGAGTGTTGAGAACAACCTATTATTTGTTCATTTGGTAGCTTTAAAGTAATATTGATACGTTCTTAACTCTTATTGAAAACATTGGATATACAAAATACTTTTGATAGATCCTAAATACTCTTAATCGGAAATGTGTGTAAAAAAGTAATTAGTTCCACTTCCTAATCGTATACCTATGAGCCTAAACATAATATCTTAGTGTAATGCCCACATAAAGTAGATGTGCTAATAAGTATTGGTTGGCTGCAGATTGTTGAAGTTAAACATTAATCTTTGTTGTTCTGTCTCCATCTGAAGCCGCCGTGGAGGCAGTGACACAGGAGTTATTCAGGTAGGTAAACTTCCACTGACACTCATTCATCATTTTATTGTGGTGTCATTATTTTAATTATACTTTCCTGTCCTGATTGTGGCGCATTGTGCCTTTTCACAGATCATTTTTGTGGCATTCATTTTTGCCTAAAGCAAGAAGCGTTGTGATGTTAACCCATCTCAAGGGCGTGGGGATTTATCATTAACCGTCATACAAATATCCACAAATGTGTTTCAATGCGCTTCATGCATGGAAACATGCAGGCAGACAAGTTACAGTCCTGCAAACCTCACTTATTGGTTTGTGAACAACCATTTTAAAGCCTTGAGTTTAGAGTTTTTCCTGATGGTATCTTGGCAAGTGCAACGCTTGAAAATACATTTTAAGGTCACCAAAATATCACAATTCACCTTCATGAAGTGAAACACGATGGGAACGTTTTAATACCTCTACCCATCCATCCATCTTTTGAGCCTAAAAGCTGATGATGAAGGCATGTTGTAATTCGAGAAAAATCATGATATTATGACCAACAGTTAGGGTCAACAGTGTACCGTGTTAAAATGGGACATATTTAAAATCTAAATTGATGGATAATTAATCTGCTTTTGCGTCGCGTGTGGAACAACTCACTCGCAGCGGCTGATAGTAACTGCTGAATTTCACTTCTACCTGTTTGAGAGTGTGTTTCTGCTTCACTTAATCTCATTTAGTACAAGTGACACATATTAGTGTGTGCAGCAGATTATGGTTGAACCCAGTTTGATCCAGGTCATTGCTTTACTGTAAACAACATGTCCTGTCTGAGCTGTGAGCCCTGAGCAGAGGAGCAGGAAACTCCACCATATTCTGTCAGAATTTAAATCTGAAAGGTAGACGTGAACAGAGAGGATTTAAAGTTGGTAGAAACGACTCAAACAGTAAATACTCTAAGCATGCCATCGAATATTTTTCTTCAATTATTTTTTACTCCATTGACTAATCTGAGTAATCTGTAAGGATAAACATTATTTGAATTAATTCATCATTATGGTGTGTAGGCAGATTTAGTGGCAGGAAAGACATGTGGTGGTGATATTAAAAAGTCTTCCATGACTTTGTGGTAATTGCTAAATAAACT